CAATGATTTTTTTTCTCATCATTGATGTTTCTCTCTCTCGCTCCCTCTCCATTCCTCTCAGAAATCAATAAAAATATATTTTTAAAAAAAGTTTTGTCTGAACTCTCTGAGTATGCTCTCTCTCCCGACCACAGTGAACCTGGAGCTGGTGCCCGTCCCTTCCCGTCCTCTCTGGCATCGCTCTGGTTGGAGGTGGACATGTGGTCCCTCCTCTCTGAAATCAATAAAAGTACATTTAAAAAAAAGTTTTGTCCGAACTCTCTGAGTATGTTCTCTCTCCCGACCGCAGTGAACCTGTAGCTGGTGCACTTCCCTTCCCGTCCTCTCTGAGGTCACTCTGGTTGGAGGTGGACATGTGGTTGGCTGCCTTGTGAGCCTCCTGCACGCTTAACCCCACAACTGTCCACAAACACAGAAACCCAGTCCTCCCGTTTTCTGCTGAAAAACCAGCCCTTCGTTGATGGCTGGGTCAGGTCCCGCCTTCCAGCTGCGGCCTGACCCCTCTGCAGTCTCCCTGGCTTTGTCCCCCCGTTTCCACCGCCCTCAGCTCTGGCTCAGGATCATAGCGCTCACTGGCTCACTCAGCCTGTGTCTGCCTTTAGCCACCTTCTTCCCTAAGGAAAACCTCTCTTTCCAAAGCGCCTCCACGGAACCTTACGCGTCCCCTCTCCAAGTCTGGTCACTCACTTTCTCAGCATTTTACCTGCAGGCCTTTCTCTGGGACTTATTCATGCTCCTTTGTGTTTTGTTGGTTGTGGTTGGTAGAATCAAAGTTGCTGGGAGAGTAAGCACCCTGATTTCTCTCTCCTCGTGGCATCTGAGTTGGTAACTGAAGATGCCCCCACGTTACAACAGGAACCCGCTTACAGGAACACTCTGACCCCTAACTCTCATTTCTCCTAATGAGGCAGTGAGCGTTCTTTTAACTAAGACTTGAAACTTCACATAGTTTTCATACTTAGCATTTTAAAGTTTCATTGTGTTTCTGGAGAATTGACATTTGTTAAATATGTAAGACTGAATCTAACAATGCGATAAATAGCGTCAGGTAATCTAAGACAATTAACCTAATTATTATTTATATCTGCCTAAGTGCTTGCTGACTCCCTTTCCTCCCTCCCCAAGACAGGCCTCCAGGGGTGGGGTGACTTTTCCAGTCCCAGGAGAGCAGAGAGCGTAATGGGAAGGTCTGCAGGTTACAGCTTTTTGGTAACAATGCACCATGCGGCATCACTATAAAGACATGAGTTTGCTGAATACATTAGCCTCAGTGCACCTCCTGAGCTATGGGAAGGGAGAGTGTGAACTGGCTTCCAGAGGAAGATTTGGACTGAACTAGCCATTTCTGTTGTGTGTGTCCCCACCCACACTCACACCCCCACCCCCTTCTTTTCCCATCATTCCTCTGTGGCTGAGTGTTGGTTTAGTGTTCCCCTTAGGTTTAATGTTGGGGCCCCGCAAACTAACCTGACAAAAGACAGATTAACAAAGGGAAATACTACCCATGAACTGGAGTTCATGAAGAAACATGAGGAGGCAGAAATAGGAGCCTATAGACCAGCTTAACAAAAGGTGATGGAGTGCAGAACGAAGGTTAGAAAAAGAAAAGGGGGTTTGGGGTTCCTGGGAGAGGGTGTAACTTAATGGGAAGGTGATGGGAAAATGTATGGTAAATAATGGCTGATTGGTAGTTTGTTGTGCAGATAAGAATCCTGTGTAAGGAGAGGGGACAGTTATGTCCCCTTTACTGGGCTGATGTATGTCCTGCTCTTAGCGAGCCTATTGCCTGCGGCTCATACAGTCCTTATGCCACCGTGGCTGTTGGGAGGTGGCATGCTTGGTTGCCCTTCAGTAAATGTTTTTATTGGCTGGAAATCCCAAACCACCTTAAATCTTTTTACAAAATAAATTGTAGCAACAGGAATGAACTAGAGTGCTGTATATCTACCTCATTTCAATAAGTTTACAGTAAAGGTGACTATTCTAAAGGATCGTTTTAGCCAACCTGAAGACTAAACTGATTTATGCAGATTTCCTATTAGGACTCTTTTGCATTTCATTCTGAAGTCAAGAACCACATTCTAGATTAGAAGCTACTTTCATAGGCTCTTGAGGAATTAATTCAACTTCATTAAGATGGCATGCCGGGTGGAGTTTAATAATTGCTCTATTTGGACCTTAATCAAGAGGAAGATAGAGGCCAAAGCTGGATATATGGGGACAAAGGTTCTCTTACGGGCACATGAGAAGTAAGTGATGGTATTTGAACACAAGATACAAGTTTTAAAGTTACATCTTTCTCCTTCCCTGCTTGCTCACTCTTGCCACTTCCTCCATCCCCTTCACTCCGAGCCTCTGCCACATGCTTTTTGCATGTTGTGCTCCCTCCCCTGCAGCTGCTCCCTCCCCTGCAGCTGCTCCCTCCCTTGCAGCTGCTCCCACCACTGCAGCTGCTCTTGGTGCAGCCCACGGCACCTTCCGTAATTCTCAAGCCCAGAAGTCTCCTCGCTTCCTACTTTACTTGACCTCCTGGCTGCTTTTGATACAGAAAGCCACTCTCGTGGAAATCATTATTTTGGTGTCTGTGGCTCCATTTTATCCTGTTTTCTTTTTCTTTAAAAAAAATTTTTTTCTTGTTCTCTGTTTCTGTTTCATTCTTTGCTCATGGCTTCGCTGATGTGCCCCAGCAATGCTGATTTCTCCAGGACTCTGTCCTTGGTTATCTTTTGAAACC